CTATTGAAAGACTATTTACTCTCTTACACTCTCAGATTTATCTCCTGTCTCTAAACTATTATTTTACCCTGAAATACAAAGTACATTTTATGACCCATTCCTTGTTCTCAATTTTTTGAGGTCTGTCATATTTGGCCAATTTTGCTTTTCTCCTTTTTAGATGCTTTTAAAAATAAGACTCTATAAAGCAAAAGGCAGCAGTGTCTGAGTATTAATGCATTATTAGATTTTTTAGACCTTCACGTGATACGTGCATATATTCATAATTACATAGAAATAAACACACATTTTACTATGTGTATGTAAATTTTATATAGTTTACATAGCAAAAGAGCTTTGTCAAATGTTCAGAAAACATATTGTTTTTAAAAATGCCTAAAACCCTTAAGTGTTTTCATGGCCTTTATTTTATTCTATTTATAAATTTAATAATTACTCATTATAGAAAATTGGAAATTTGGAGAATTATAATTAAAAAAATTAAAATCACCAATAAGCTTAGCCATAAATATACGAGTTAACATTTTGCTGATTTTCCTCTTTTTCTTTTTCTATGTGTAGCAGCATATCATTGGGAACCTGCTACACACACACTATCAAATCCTACCTTTCTATTTCATTAATTAAATATTCTTTGAATGCGTGATTTTTAAAACTGCATGAAAGCCTAACTTAGGGCTGTGGTGTAATTTATTTAACTATTTTGTAACACTTATGGATTTTTTTTTAATTTTCAAAGAGCATTAAGTTTTGCAAGATTATATAGGTGAATTTTAATGCTGCTTAGAGTCCAACAAAAAATGTGATTTCAACCTCTAATTCCTGGAGTTGACCTGATTTCTGTTCATTGTGTCCTGAAAGATACAACCTATGGCTCATTTTATACCTTATTAGATAATCCTATGAACAAGATGTTAAAATCTGGCATTCTTGCATTTAAAAAAAAAAACAGCAGAGTGATTGCTAACATAGCTTTGTGTAAATGAGCCTGTTAGATTTGAGAATTTCTCTGAACAGTTTTTGAGTTGTTTTTCATATGATCAGCTAATGAATTCAGCAGAACTTCCCCAACCCCTACCTTTTTCTCCTGTTTAGCATTTTCCACTTTTTTTACTCTGTGATGTACAAGCCCTCCCTGGTTAATTATGTATATATTTAGCTACTGCATGTGTTGGGCTTATTATTGTCATCTAATTAGATGTAACTTGAACTGCTTGCTTCTAGAAAAATCATTAAAAATTCTTTCCTAATGACCTAGAGATGACAAAATGTCTGTAAAGTGTGAAGAAGTAGACAAGCACAGGAACATCGCTCTTAAAGAGTGTTAATCCAGATGCTGCAATCATCTAATTAAACAATATTTTGCTGTCATTAACATTTTCACCAAGGAATTGCAGTTATAATTTTTTTGTCAGCTGTCTCTAGATCACTTTACCTTCAAAACTAAGGTGCCATATAAAAACATTAAATTGGATGGTTTAATTAAAAAGTTTTTTTTTAAGTGAAGAAACGTATCTAGTATTTCTGAGATCTCATTTACTGTGCTTCACTTTTATTGTTTGAGTAGATTAGTGTCATAGGCTTGCAATATTTAATATTCATCATCGAAGATAAAACCTTATGAGCGTAGTTCATTAAAAAAATCTGCACTTACTACTGCTGGAAAAGAAAAAAAACCTACCAATTACAGCAAAAGGTTATTTCCTAAATTTCAATTATCATAAAAAAATTTAAAAGCGAACAATTGATAAATAAGTACCTGCAAGTGCCAGAATCTAACAGGTAATACTTTGGAAGTATTTCACTTTTTTGGTTAATTTAGTAAATGGTATTTGTTTCCATTTCACAAAGGTGCTCAGCAAAATAAAGTGATTATGGTAAATCATGGGTAAAACTTATGAATGCAAAGTCCGAGATACCATTTAATCATTCTTTTTCGCCCATGTGATTTTAAATACATAGTGCATTTTTAATTCAAATCAAAAATGTATATTGACTGTCCATGTTACAAGGCTTTTGGGGGGAATTTTTATTTGAAAAAGGTTTTAATGTAACTGTGTAACTACATTCATTTGTTAAGTATATCGTATCTATTAGAATTAAAAAGGTGCTATAAGCTTGAGTAATTTAAAAATTACTGAATTTTCCTTAGCATTTATTTTCAAAGAACCTTCCAAAGGTTATTAAAACTGAATTATTATATTTTTCTCTAATTCACTTTTAATAACCTTTGGAAGTTTCTTTGGAAATAAATGCTAAGAAAACTAATTTTAAAAAGCATTAATCTCAATATATATACATATATATAATCATATATATAATACATCATATATATTTAATATATGATATATATAATACATCAATTGCCAATCACTTTGACTATTGGCATAAATCAGTTTGTATTGAATTTTAAAGATGATGCTTTCTTTTCTGCATGTTTTTTTAAAATACCATTATATCTTTTCCTATATTAGAAAATCATTTCTATTAGAAGGCTAGTATATTCAAATATGATCTCTATTTTTATGCTATTTGTATTTATAGGATACATTTAAGTACTGAGCTCATGTAAATTGGCTTTTTATGTATTTTATTTTGACATTTTCATTAGTATATAAAACTTCAAAAAAATTGAAAACAATTATGGTATCTAATTTTCAGCTATTCACTGATTTATATAAGTAATATAAACATATGTTGTATAAACAATATCACCAGTTAATCTATAAACATATATATTAGGAGACATATTTTTCATTAAAATCTACGGGTTTTTAAGTAGAATGCTAATGCAGAAGATGGTGGAGTGTTAAGTTGCCATGAGCCCAGTTAGAATCCCAGAAATAACTCTGCCTAGCCAGTCTGGCCTCTGTAAATACACATGTTTAGGAAAAGCACTGAGAGCAGCCCATTGTCCTAGGGTAACATATATATGAGCTATCACTAATAAGTTTAAAATTTGAAAATTTTACACTTTGTATTTTACAATGATACTGCTTCAGCAGAGTGTTTTCACATACAAAAGACTGTAACAACGGTTCCAAAATCTTGTTTATTCTCATTAGTATTATTCTCCACAATAGACTTATAAACATAAAACAGGTGCATCCATTGGCTGAGCTGTCTAGCTGCAGACATTTCCTTCACGTTTACTGTGCATGTTCAGTGCCGTTCTCACATATATATTTTCTGCCTTCACATAGTCCTCATCCTCCAAAGAGACTATCCTGCAGCTGTCCTTCTTTACTTGGCTTATGCTTGTTCATCTTTTGAATTTTGGCTCATTTTTATCCATTTTTATCACATTGTATTCATTCCTTTAACAAATATTTATTGGGTAAGCAGTATGTGCCAATACACAGAGATTACACACACACACACACACACCTACATTCACGAGTTTACAGACTAGTGGAGAGGCACACAAGTTGGCAGTGATGCGTACTAGCTGTAACACATGTCTGTGTGAACGCTGTGGTGGGAGAACAAAGGGGAAACCCTAACCTTACTCTCACCTCATTCCAGGAAATGCAATTTCCTGCTTTCTATCAGTTACCTAAATATATAATATGCACCCATATAAATTTACACATTTAAAACAATATGTAGCTTTGTTGTCAAATGCAGAGATTAATATACTAAACAGTCACCCAATAAATGTTTACTAAATGAATTAAATGATTTGATGTTTATAATCATTAGCAGATGTAGTTCTTCCTCAGATTGTGACTTGTTTTTCCTATTTCATGGTCACCTTTACCAGTTGCTGTAAGAGTGGGTATCACTTAACGTCAACTCTTGATGATGAACAAGATAATGTAGGCATATCTGTGTTATTGTTATGCTGTATGTGGTGTGTGCACCAAGGCATACTAGATGAAATTCATATCGCTAAATACAAGGGAAATAGCCATTTTGTATGAATTTGAATAGAAATTTAGAAAGTTACCCATGATTGGGTCGTAACACATTTTTACAAAATATAATCTTACCCAACAAAAGTTTTCTTCAGATCCTGTTTTTTTTAATACCGATTCTCTTAATTTCATCCAATTATGTGTTATTTCAGTATCAGTTTATCAGGGTGAGCCAGTGCTGTGCTCTCTCTCCCCGAACTGCCCACATTCCCACTGTACTTCAGTATCCCACCTGAAATACTTAAGTTATTCTATAAAACAAACAAACAAAAAACACAAAACCCAGCCAATTAGGATCAACCTAAGATCCAGCAGCTCTTCACTAAAGTGAAATAACACAATACAAAAAGAATGTTCATGAACTAAAAAGAGTGAAAACAATGTTTATGATACCTGGCTCTGTACTTTTTCATACTGGCTTCAGAGTACTTCTGTTAACTTGCAAATTTTCTACATCAATTCTTGATGTAACCTCAATATAGCATTCTGTATACTGGCAGTATAATTTCTAGATATATACTCATTATAGTAGACTACCATCACATAACCTGCAGGTATGCAGATCAGCAGGGTGACCTCCTCCACGATCGCGTTCAGGGTCCCTGACCAGCAAGGCTCTGCTTCCAGGGTGGCAGCATTATCTTCGTCATAGCATCAGAAGAGAGATGGAGCATGGAGGCACCCGTGTGGCAAGCTGTAGTGGGCCAAGCCAGAAAATGTCACATGTTACCTCTGCTCACGTTCTGTAGATTAGAACTAATTCCCATGGCCGTGGCTACTTGTAAAGGAGGCTGAGAAATGTGGTGTAGCCCAGGAAGGAGAGAAATCAGTTATGACAAACAGCTAGCAGTCTTTACCACAAGCTTATACTGTAAAAAATAATGGTAGTTACGCATTAATTAATATTAAGTGAATTCACTTGAAACACATTGTTATGAGTGCTTTTGATTAAACAAATACATAGTTCAATGAACAATGTATTTTGTTCTGAAATTCAATAGTTGCCTTATCTATTATAAGAACAGGGATAATTTCATAAGCAATTGGTGTATATAGATTATCATTTCTATTTTTCTTTACTAGGACGGACGTATAATGACCTGAACCAGTACCCCGTGTTTCCATGGGTATTAACAAACTATGAATCAGAAGAATTGGACTTGACTCTTCCAGGAAACTTCAGGGATCTATCAAAGGTAACTTTTAACTATATAGAAGACGATTTTCTCCATAAGGCTATATTCTAAAAGCATTTCTACCCAAGTGTGTGTGTGTGTGTGTGTATAAAATTAATGTTTGTATGAAAGTAAACCTGGTTTTCATCTCCTTTTTTAGTCAGCGTCTAAATCTCATCAATTCTTTACATAGGAATTAAGCGACAAGATAAATTAGTACTAATATAGGCAAAATGAAATGGATATTTGAGAAAGAGAAGATGTAGGGCAAGATTGCTCAGATATCCTGGGTTTTAAAGACCCAGGTAAGAAACCTGAAAATAGTACAAAACATAATAGCAACTCATTTCTGTGATATATCTCTTAGGTGATAAGACACATTATCTTGACCAAAACACACACACACACACACACACACACACACACACACACACACACGTTGTAGGGGAGCTTAATAGTGCAAAGAAGTAGGGCACAATAATTTATCAAGGGTCTGGTAAAATATAAGAGAGAAGACTTGTCTCCAAACTGGGAAGAATAAAATACATAATGGGGGATAAGAATAAAAAGCAAATTTGGAGTTAGCTCACCTCATTTGTCTAGAGAAACCTTATGTGGGATACTAAACTCTGAAGTACAGTGAAGAACTAGGAACTAAGCCTGAAAAGCTTCTCTATAGGCTAGGATAACCTCAGAGCCAGGCCCTAAAGTTTCTGTACTTTAGTCATATTAAGCCTCTGCCCATTCACTCCAAATTTCACTTTTCTGTCACGTTGGTTGTCTGGCTTAGCATTCCACAGTAGGTTAAATGGCTTATGTGTGTATACAGTAATACCTTGGTTTGCGAGGATAATTCATTCTGGAAGCAAACTACAGTAAAACCTTGGATTGCGAGTAACTTGGTTTGCGAGCATTCTGCCAGACAAGCAAACATTTCTAATATATTTTAACATAGTAAACGAGTGATTTCTTGCATTATGAGTACTTTGTTTCCAGAACGAATTATGCTCGCAAACCAAGGTATTACTGTACTTGTATTGCAAGACATCACTCATTTACCATGTTAAAATGTATTAGAAATGTTTGCTCGTCTTGCGGAACACTCACAAACCAAGTTAATCGCAACCAAGGTTTTACTATATTTGGTTCTGGTGGGGGAAGGGTTGAGGAGCTCCTGGACAAACGGAGAACCAGCTCCATGAGTCAGGAAAATATGCATTGCAACCATTCTAAAATGAATCCCACAGATTGTTTTGAACTCGGCACACTCTCTCTTGCCTCTTTTCTTGCCTTTGAAAACTAGATCTACCTAAGTTGAAGTTCTGTGTTCCACTACTTAGTAGCTATGGGAGCTGAAACCACTTTCTCTTAGCCTCAGGTTTCCCATATGAGAATAACAATACTATCATACGTCATGCAGTTGTAAAGATCAAATGATGCGTGCATTAAAAGAAGGTAGCATAGTACTTGACACATGAAGGCACTTCATGAATATTAGCTATTATTATTACACATGGAGTATTTCTTAGCCTGTTTGTGAAGCCTGCATACTAATTTTTACATATCCTTATTTGTCATTCACTCTCTAGTGCTTCTATTTATTGGAATCTCTTATGAAATATCAGTTGCCAGCTCATTGCTAATTTCAGTTATAATATTATAGGTAGTAAAGGGACCTAAGCGATCAGTTAGCCAACATTTTCCTGAGAGTCACACAGCTGATTAAAAAAATACACAAGCAATTGAATTCCACTTTGGCTGCAAATACAGTAATTTTTCCAGTGCAGTTGAACTGAACAAAAATCTTTATTTGCCACGTGCAAGTAATTTTTCAGATTCCGGGAGATAGAAACATTGTAACTCACGAAATCTGTCCTCCAAGAACAAATCTAGTTATAGATTATTTGAATAATAAAATCATTTTCTGCAAAATTAAATAATAAGGTACTATATTATATAAAGAGAACAATATGAGAGGCAATAAACAGTGGTTAGGACAAAGGACTCTGGAGCTAGACTACCTGGGTTCAAGTCCTAATTCTGCCATTTACTAGCTTTGGGTCTTAGACAAGGTTATTGAATTTCTCTTTGCCTCAGTTTCTTCACCTGTGTAATGGGGAAAATAATAATAGGGTTGTTGTGAAGATTTGATGGTTAAGAAGTGAAAGGACTTGATTTGCTATTATGTTTTGTACTATTTGCAGATTTCTTACCTGAGTCTTTAAAACCCAGGATATCTGATCAATCTCACCCTACATCTTCTCTTTCCCAAATATCCATTTCATTTTGCCTGTATTAGTACTAATTTATCTTGTCGCTTAATTCCTATGCTAAGAATTGATGAGATTTAGACGCTGACTACAAAAGGAGATGACAACCAGGTTTACTTTCATACAAACATTAATTTTTGTATGTGCCTGGCACATCAGCTTTAGCTAATACTGAATATATGAAGATAACGTACTAAATCATTGATATAGGCCATGTACTTTGGGTTGTCTTTCAAATAGTGATGATGAATATATGTCGTTACTTCCATATTGGAATTAAAATGTTTGAATGATAGGCATTTTTGACATGACTTTCCAGGGTTGAGGTGTAACTTCTGGGTGTAAAACAAAACCAAACTAACTCATCAATGTGAGGATTAAAACTGTCAGACCCATTCTTTAAACAAAACCTCATCTGCATGTGTTTTATTTACCATTCATTGAATGACCATTGTGTAACAGGTACTATGAAACTCATATATAATAAAAATTTAAAGGTAAGTTTTCAATACATGATAGTAAAACCTCATAACCTGACCACTACTGTGGCTATTTTAGATTATTTTTACAACTGAAAAGGACATCCTTTTTCTTTGAAATCAACGGGGATATCATGGTAAAAGGAAGCTTATAGACCAAGGTGCCTTCCTTTCCTCCATTTATTTATTCATTCTTCCAATAATTCAGTCAACAAATACTTATCAGACACTCACTATATGTCAAGCGCTGTACTGGGTGACAGGGTTTACAGGAGATACTAAAACAGATGTAGTCACAGCCTTCTTAAAAAGAGGTCAGTCCACAGCTGAGATGAAAACCCAGATAGTTACAGAAGTCTGTGAGGCCAGCATCTATGGCAATAGGTTTAATGGGGACTGTACCAAATTAGAGAGTGCATGTTCAACTACTCTAAGATGTTAGACTCAAATGTACTTGAAACACTATCTTAACCAAAGAAAATGTAGCCCTCATTATGATTAATATGGATTATAGAAGATATGTGGTATAATATTTGCTAATAATTATAGATTTTTAGTCTATGCACGACAGATGAGATAAATGGGGAAGTCACTGTTTCTAAAGTAGCTGGAATATGTAAATATTCTTCAAGTTTTTAAAGCTTATTATTTGTATTTCTTTTGGCGTAACTTCTCCCTTTGTGACTCACATGTGCTCCGCTAATTTTATGGAGTGCTGAATAGGAAGGAGAGGTAAACAGACTGAGCCTGCATAAATTAGGCAACTTGAATACTAGCTGTACTTTAAGGCAGCATGGCGTCCTTCATGCTGAGAACATTTGAACCCATGAGTGCTTAAAAGATAGATAGCTTTTTTCTTCCAATTCTACCATGTTCCATGCTTTAGCAATTTGTTCTTTATATTCTGTCAGACTAACATGATAGGAAAATGTTAGCAAATTAAAGCCTCTTGATATGTTAATAAATTACTCTTGCATTGTTCCCATGCTTCATTGAATTTCTTAATAGGAACTTCTTACAAATGGGCTAGAAACCCAAGACTATCCTGTATAAAAATCATTAATAAACAAGATTTTAATGTATGAAAATATATCATACTATATGCCTAATGGGAAAATTACATTTTAAGTATAATAATATAATTGGTTGGGAAAACTACTAATGATGCAATTTTTTTTTTTTAGTGAAGAGATGACCACTAAGAAGCACATGCAATTCTTATACTTATAATTAATACTGCAAAAGAAAATTTCAATAGAGAGTTTGTTACTCTTTAAAAGATCAGGGAAGAATTGGAATATTTTAATGATATTATTAACCAGGAGCATTCTAAAGGGCCTCTAACAAGAGAAGTTGTTCCTAAGCAATGATTAGGATCCACATAATAACTCCTAGCAGTCATAGTTCTAGAATATGTTTCAGTAAACAACAAATGATTTTTATATTCTTTACTGTATGAAAAAATTAAGATGCTATGAAATGAAGAATCCTAAAAATTTGAATTTTTTTCTTTTTTTATACTTCCACATAACTCTGGCTTCATAAAATTCTATATTGTATCAGATAGGAGTTTTGAATGACAGCTTCAGACAACCCAGCTCAAATTAGCTTGAATAATAAATCAGTGCTACTGGTTTTTATTGGTTCTTATAACTGAAAAAAATCAGAGGAAAGTTTTGTTTGCAGTAAGATTTTCTCCAGTGATGCAGACAGTGCCACCAAGGACCTGGTTCTTTCCATGGGTCTGCTCCCCCTTGCCCACTGTGGGCCTCACACTCACCCTCTACTGGACTGCCTCTAGTAGCTGCAAGCACTCCCTTTATTAGCAAAAGGGTTGTAACAGTTCCAGACCTCACATCATACTACCCAGAGAAAGAGAGAGCATCTTACCAAGTAGCTCTCATGGAAGACAGAAGAAACTTTTCTTTCGCAGGAATCCCAGAAAATGTCTCCATGTGTGTCATTGCTGCTGCCTAAGAGGATGGAATATGTTAATTAGAAATGGATAGCCACTCATTTCCCATGGATGGAGCTAGTGATAGTGTCAGGATCACACAAGACCCCTGTCTTAGAATGCTGGGGTGAGAGCTGGCCAGAGGACATTTGGATTCCTGTTCCTGAAAGAAAGTGAATTGGTGATCAGCAAACAACTCTCTATTATATAAAGTGTCAAATGCAATGTATCTGAGACGTTCTTCTTTATGATTTCTATAATCTAAAGAATAGCAAATAAATTTCAGTTTTGTATACTATATAGCTACTACATAAAAGG